TCGACACTCACGGCGGAACCCTCAGTATTCACGGTCTACTAGTAGTTCGGTCGTACCTCCCTTCCTCACTGCTCGGCTGAGCTCGAAGCGTGCTGTGGCCGATCGCATCTGGGTTCCTCTCGTCTGGCCTCTTTGACGCGGCGTACCAATCCGGCCCAGACGATCTCAATTGTGAATCCCGTATACAATGCAATTTGCAAGCCAGTCCTGTCTGACCCACATTCGTACCTATCAAGGCGGACATTTATTGCTACCCTGACGATGACCGAAAACATTCCGTTATATACCGCCACCTACAGGCCACTCCTGCTCGGCTTTTTCTCTTATTATTTTTAAAGAGGGGTTTTTTCTCCTGTAAAATTAATTCAATCGTTTTTAACTTTTTCCAAGGAGTTTTTTTTCACCCCTCAATCATCGTGTTTCTCAATGGACTTCTAATTCAGAAACTATGAATTGCATTTTGTAAAGATTCGGCCTACCTCGTCTAAAACTCGCATGCAAATTTATTTTAACTTGCTTTGATGGGACCCTGACGGGTCTTTAATAAAAATTATCTATCTATCTATATACATCCAAACTTGAAGGCTGAAAGGATAATTGAGATCTTTCATGTTTTCAGGGAAAATCCGTCCTAAATATAGACTGAGAGTAGTTGACTAAGTAATCTAGAAAGGTCTGATGCCAGTTAAATAGTCGAGTTTAGAATACCGTCCGTTCCAGAGCAGTTTGAGTTTTTTAAACAACATACGTGTTTCTTAATTAGGTTTATGGAGACAGAGTGTACTGAGTGTCATGTCTGAAAGCGGACAAAAGAAAGGAAAGCGCTCAAACTCTTTAGCAAGGTGTTTTGCAAAGAATGCGCTAAAAAATTCCGGCTTCTTAGTGTCATCCAGTTAACAGTGAATTCAGTATCGGAGTTGGTCATGTTTTTTGACGCGACAGTGGACTTTAAGGAAAGTTTTTCGCTTTAAGCCGAGATTCTAGGAATGGCAAACGTTTCCCATTTAAAGATCGAGTACAAACTATTGGTTCGCTAATAGTTCAGGTAATATCTCAACCGTCTGTAATGAGTTTTCTGTAGATATCAGGATAGACACAAGAAGCATATACTTTAGAATGAATCTGGACTGTTTTTTCTATCTCAAGCGACCGGTCATAGCATACCATTGTATATTCCCGATCGAAAACCGACAGGGCAACGGGCTCGTGCCCCGGTGGGTAAAGGCGTGGACTTCTAAACGAACAGGTCTCGAGTTCGAGGCTCGGGTGTTCCACTCTTCGGGCTTGGGTATGGCTGGCTGACGACGCCTAATAAGCCAGAAATGGCCATTCCAGTCTCCCTTGTCTTTGTCGGTAATACCATTCTGCCTATATATCATGCGCCACTGTGCGGCTGCTGTTTGGGCTGGACAGAGAGCCCTTAAGGCACAACGGAACGAGGGAGTTCCGTATGAACGATTGGCGAGCGCCCCCTACCATATCAGAAACTGTTTTTTTTTTTCAATCACACATCGAAATCTAACCCACTGAAGGTCGCCGACATTTGTCCATACGAACTGTTTCCATTCCATAAACGAATAAAGGCCTTTCTTGTAAAGTGTGATATCTGTTTATATTTGGCAAATATTTTTTCATGTCGTATTTTGATTTTTCTAGCTATGTTGACTTTTTTCAATTTTTCTCCAGTTAACTTTTTGATCGTTATAAGTGATGCTATTGTCTCCTGTAGATGATGTTTGTCTTGCCGTTTTCGACCACGGCAATGCGTCCTCCAGACAACTAGCTGAAATTTCTTCCCATTCGAAAAAATATCGACAAGGGGTGAAAAATTTAGTTTGAGCTCCCTAATATACCGAGTTTTGCAAAAACATTTACGATACACCAGTGTCACTGGTCGCTGGATAAAATCTGCCTATTGAAGGTTTGGAGAACAGATAGACCGACATTAGTAAGCATCACTAACCAATTCAGCCAACAAATAGAACAAGAACATAAAAAACATTGCGCAGAGTCAAAAGATCATCCTTTTGATCTTTTATTTTCGTCTTTCAACATTTCCGAAAGGATTCATATTTTTTTAAACTTTCAGTTTATATCGTGTCGCTGACATATTAACAAATTTCTTCTCATATTGAAAAACTATACATGCCAACGTATCTTTATTTATCCTTGAAACCGATGTCTGGTGTCATACGCTATTGTTTGTATGTGCTATTTACATTCCATTTCTTTAGCCTAAGCCGCCGCTTCTGTCATAATTGTTTGTTAAACTAGTCGGGCTGATGGACGGTCTATCGGACGATGCTATTTTTCAGAAGGTGAAGGAGAGACTGGCGTGTTTTGAGTTAGAACAAGATGATTATGTCAAAGTCATGGGGAAAATAAACGACGCAATGCTGCGTGGTCTTAGCATGGGAACTCGAGACAAGGCTTCCATAAAAATGTTCCCTTCATTTGTTACCAAACTTCCCAATGGAACCGGTAAGAAATGGTCTTATCTATTTTCTCAGAGACCGGTCAGTATTTGGCTCTAGACCTTGGAGGGACTAATTATCGTGTTATTCTCGTGACGCTTGCTGCGGATGAGCATCCAAAAATCGAGGAAAGAACGTATGCAATACCACACGAAAAGATGACTGGCACAGGGGAAGAGGTATAGTTTTAAATACTTAAACTTTGTGGTGTTTCAGCTTTTTGAATACATAGCTACCACTCTCCAGAGCTTCCTGGCGCGTTTTGGTATTGCTGACAAAGAAATGAAACTGGGTTTCACATTTTCCTTCCCTTGCGAACAACATGGATTAAACAAAGCGATCCTCGTGCGTTGGACAAAGGGCTTCGACGCCCGTGATGTCGTAGGGAGGGACGTTGCTCGTCTTCTCCAAAACGCCATTGATAAAACGGTAGGCAAACAATAGTTGGCTTATGAGGGCCTCACTTGACATAAATATATTCATACTTTTCCGAGATCGTACCACACTAACATTGGCTGTAGATTATTCGGACCTTTGTCGACCACCTTAATGACGATTTACACATTCATGCTATCATTTGAATTTTATTATTTGTACGACATTTCCGAACACATTCGTTGTGTGTCGTAATGACAAACCGTAAGTGCGCAGACCTGCGTCCACTTTACAAAACATTTGCTTAATGCTTTCTTCTATTATTAGTTAACATTAATATTAGGAAAACAAACAATACCAATTAAGCCTTTAAGACTCTATTTTGCCCACCGCTGTAAAAGTTTTTGTATCTTTGGTTTGTTTCGGCGATTTAAAAGTGACATGTTTTGACCACTCAGAACACTGATGAATTTTACTTGAGCCCTAACTTAATCTGCGTAGTATATTTGCATGATCATCGTTCTGTAACTGTTTTTGAAAATTGTAGGGCCTGAAAATTCAATGCGTGGCAGTCGTGAACGATACAGTCGGCACATTGGCATCATGCGCGCTCGAAGATCGAAAATGTGCCATTGGGCTAATTGTTGGTCAGTTTTCCTGGACAGTTGTTACTAATATATATGATTAACTTGTGTGCCATGCGTTTTTATGTATCTTATGCATAACTTTCTGTCATGATTCAATGATTTATAGGAACTGGCACAAACGCTGCCTACATCGAAAAGTCCGAAAATGTTCCCTTTATGCATGATATACTGGCCTCGAGGAATAGTCCACCAGTAACAGATGAAAACGTCATAATTAACATGGAATGGGGTGCCTTTGGTGAAGAAGGCAGTCTAGATCCCTACCTGACTCACTACGACAAACTCATTGACAAGGACAGTCTTCATCCCGGAAAGCAAATGTAGGTCATGTGAAAGCCTTTTGTTTCTTATGGCATGTTTCTTCCTGTAGCTTCGAAAAAATGGTTTCTGGAATGTATCTTGGAGAGCTGGTCCGTTTGATTATCCTTGATCTCGTGGACCAGAAACTACTTTTTAGAGGTGACTTGCCAGATTCTCTCAAAGCCGCCCAATCGTTTCCGACTAAATATATTTCTGAGACTGAAAGGTAAGCTTCTGCCTAACAAATCACGTTTTTGTGTTAAAATGTAGGTATATTAGACGTTGGTTTGCATTACCTTGTTAATTGTATAGCATTATGACATTCAATTTCAACACTGATTTAGCGGTTTCATAGATGATTTTTGCTTGTAAAATCAGACATCTCTGTAATTTTGAAAATCTCGAGCAACCGTACACCATTTCCACGTTTGGACGGTGGGGCAATACATAACGAAGACGGAACGCAATCCCTCCTTGACACAAATAATTGTTTTTTCGCTATTACGCCATCAGATTTTTGAAAGTGATTAGCCAGCGTATCCCACTTTGTCGTTTCACGCAATGGACCAGTCCATTGCGACATGGTCATTCGAAGGTACAAATGATGGAAATTTACAAATAAGCCTACAAAAGTCTTTTGGATGGCTTACTGTATTTCACAGACACCCACATCACTGCGTGACAAAACAGTGAACTCGGTATGTGGTTTGGTATCGTGCCGCGGAAGCTGCTTAACGCAGAGGTCGGATGACGGATAACGAATATGAAAAACAAAGCATTCACTTATGGCCATCTTTTATTTGACACTGTCATGGTGTGTGTGCTTCTTTTCGGGACGCTAAATCCTTCTCATCTGATGGATTCCCTAACTTGACTCGTAATTACTCCATGACATTCATATAAAAGTCCACTTGCCACTTCTTTTGGTCAGCACGAATTTTGTAGCAAAAGTAATGTACACCTCTAACTTGCGATTTATTTTATCTCACTGTTCACTTTTAGGAATACTGCACTTTTACAGAAAAGCAGAATATTAACTGAAAAGTTTACTTTAACAAAACTTTCCAAGTGCTCATTTCTTTGCTAAGAAACGAAGTATTCTGTTTCTTTTACAGGGACCCACCACATCTGTTCTACAGTACCCACTATATGCTGACGGAAGACTTGAACGTCCCAATAGTGGAGCCCATTGATGACCGTGTGGTTCGCTACGTCTGCGAAGTTGTAGCCCGGCGCGCAGCGTACCTTGCGGGAACAGGTAACTCTAATGTTTCGCCACTGGTCCCTGTTTTCGCTTGAACTTAATCATTAAGTTGGAAGGTTACGTCCATCTCCGGTGTCCGGAAAGGACGTGGTTTTTGACACTTATAGACTCTGTTGTATACGGTGCGCATTGGTGATATTTGTTTGTCTTTGTCTTGAATTTTTTGGACAAACAATGGTCCGTTGTCATTGCGCTAAAAAACTACGTTATTAATTATTGTTAATAGTCGAAAACGTCAATACTAGAGTGGACGGTACAGCATCCTAGGAGGTTTTTTCGTATCTATGGTTGCTGCTTTTAACCACGCACCCAGCCGGCTCTGGAAAAGGTCCATGTACGATGCTCACCTCAAATAATAGGTGGCATAAATGAATGACACTTTGTTCTGCTGTTAACTAACGGGGCTATCACCAATGTCCTTTTTTGGACCGCTGTTTTCTTTGTGGAGTTCGTCTTGTACGACTCTGTCTACGCTGTCCGTACGTCTTGTTCGTGCTAAACAGTGAGCTATCATATTATCCACCCAGATCGTACGGGGGTACGGTTAAAATGTTTGTCATATCTACAATAAGCCAATTCAAGCTGCGGACGTGCCATTCACAATCAGACTGCGGAAATACGAGGAAATAATGCTGGTCCCTGGAGAATGCAGTTTCTGAATGGGACAATCATGAACTAGTGGAAGATACCGGAATTGCAAAGATGTGCTTGTTATTGGAGGTGTTTCTTCTGTCCAACTTTATTCAGAGGATGCAGCAAAGCTCATTGCAGCTAAACTTAGCATATACCATTAGTTAACAGTTTGGTAAAAATCCCCCGGTCGAGTAGTAATTGGATCGATAACATCCGGCTTTGTATTTTGCGGAAGTTTGCTCCACTCATCTGATCTGTTTTTTCCCACATATTTTGACAAGTGGTTTTACAGCTGGCTGTTCTCGTTTATGATAATGGCATGGCAGTTTCCACTCATAGTGATAATACCGTAACTAGGGTAGGACGTCCGTGTTTGACGTCTGCCATCTGATTACCATTTGCTTACTGTTTTCCTTAAAACTCCCGTCACTCCGCTCTATACTGCGGCAGCCTTGAATACCAGTTTATCCGAGTCTACACTGCACATTAGGAGTGCCGCAGTCGTAAACTTGAGTCCGCCTGAAAATCATTTATTCATCTTTTTGAGTTCTTACTGAGTGTTTTTTGACGTGAAAAAACCGTGCACGAAGTGCTGACCACCACTTTCAGTGTTTCCCAGTTGTTTCCTCACTTCCCTCATTTCCCCACTAGGTATTGCCGCGCTTCTACATAAACTGGGACGAAAACATGTGACCATTGGCATAGACGGCTCGTTGTACAAGTTCCACATCAAGTTTCGTGAACATATGACTGACATCATCGACAAACTCAGACCAGAAGGAACCCAAGTAAGGGCCTTTGGCTTACGGTTTATAAAAAAAATCAGTCTCATTTTCTCAGTAGGTAGATCTTTATGAAACTATCAGCGAATTTCTGCAACCAGAAGTGTCGGCAATTGCCTGTAGCTTTTTGAATATAAAACTAACTTCCTTTTAGTATAAACGCGTATACGGAACTTTAGATACCATCGGCATACCAATTGACTTTCCTGCTTTTACCTTGTAAAAAATTGAGAGCTTATCCCAATTGACGCTCGTATCATAAGCGTTACTATAACCTTGTGTGCGTAGACATTTTACGAAGGCTTTCACTTCTTTATAAAGCCCATGCCAGAAATCCGGCTTTGTGAAAGTCCCTAGAAAACGCATTGACTACGTTGACTACACATGCTGCGGCCGCAGCTTAGGTTGTGTCTGATGCCTGATTTTTATTCGCAGTCTGTTTTGCTGCTTTTAACTGATTGGCTAAATTCGGTCGCCTTTAGGCTAGTTTACTGGCCAAGTGTTTAGTCACGTCAGCTCTTTCCTAAGGTAGATTTAACTAGCAAAACTTCTTCGGCATCTAAATTGGCATAGTCTGCCTGTCTATCTAGGAAATATGTCCGAACACACTTTTGGCATAATAGTTGGCAGTCCGTCTCTTACGGCCGTTTGGCACGCAACACCGGTTGCGAAATCGGACACTTAATTTATCCACGCAACTTTGGTGGTATGATCATACCTCCTGTGCTAGACGTAATAATCAAAGGAGTGGGATAGGTCACTAAAGTTAAATTGTTTAATTTTGCAATTTATAAAGGACTGGTTACAAAGTAGTTATGTCTAGTCATTGATTATAAAGTAAATTCTGTTAAATTAACAACAAGATGGGGGTGATCACGTAACTTAAAAAGCCACTCTACCGAGCGGTATGCTATTGCTTCTGTCATAAAACGAAGTCTTTAGGAAAGTCGTTTAGGTCAGAAACGTGAAGCGATATATTCTTACCTAGAATTCATGCTTTCATAAACTAATCAGTTTTGCTCCGGTCGGCCTACATGTTTCATATAGTGTCTCCCAATGGGCACTTCTTACCGTGCGATGGGTAATCCTCAACAAAGTAATTACTAATTATAACGTTAGTTTTGATTGGTCTTTTATTTTTAGTTCCGTCTGAGATTGTCTGAAGATGGTAGTGGCAAGGGAGCTGCCGCCATTGCAGCTGCTGCAACTCGCACTTACTGATTATTTGTCGAGACTGGAGTACCCCAGTTTACTCAGTTCTATTATGAAGCAGTGATTTTCCCGGTTGTGACAGTCTCCTACGCGCCGGCGTCTCAGTTGGGGCCTCTGAATTCTTAGTTCCCTATTTCTGGAGTCTCATTCTTTTTTATTTCATGTACCTTCGGCAGTACTTCATGCTACATCCCGATGAACCGCTCCTTAGGTACTCCTTTTTATGTCAAAACCTATTCTGCGACTGCTGATCATGACAATCTTATTGTTTGTAAAATTGTCACTGCGATCTCCCCCACTCCTACCTGTAGTCTTAACGTCTTTTATTTGAGATGTGACTTTATTTTCCTTTTGTCGTTTTATAGCAGAAACATGAGTTCTTCGCTTTTATTATGCAATTGCTCTTGAACGCTTTTTGTCGCGGAGGAAGAATACATGACTTCCATATCAATTTTTTGCTTCTGAGTAAAACACACAAGGTTGTCGTCGTGGACGTATTGCCGAAGAAACAGGGGAACTTTGATAATGTATAGCATACATACACGAAATACGCATTCCAGAAAATTTAAGTGAAAGTGGGCAAAGGTTTTTAAGAATGAAAACCTTTATTATATAAGTCCTGCGAACCGATTCCCTTCCTAGTCGACAGATCTACGGGCGACGCAAAATGTAGGATTTTTAATCTTGCCTAAGAACGAAGTTTGGGTGAAATATGCGTTAGTGCGGGTCCATTGTGTCCTACGATAAGCTTGGGACCGGCATTTGCCGTTTATACTCGTCCATGACGATATATACATGCTGCGATTAAGTACCTTGCTGCCTGGAATTCACGAATACTTTCTGTTGGGCGGAAGCCATCGACGCGGGTGTTGCCTCATGAAGACGTGCTCTTTATATCCAGTGTATGCATGCTACCAGGGACCTGTGCCTGCCAGCCGCTAGCTGGTGATCGTGTATACGGGTGGATGGGAATTTCTCTGTTCGATCAGACTGAGCTGCACATCGGTTGGCGCGTTGGACTATACACAGGACTTCCAATCGGGGTTACTTATCCCGTCGGTAGGATGTGCAAATTGGCCTTAGATTAATGCACTATCGGCACTTAAGGTCTTTCGAACTCGTCGAGTAAGCTAAGCTAAGCTTCTTACGCATCAGACGACCACTTTTGGCGCGAAGGCGGCCGCAACAATGCAGCGGCATTCTTCCTGCATCCGGTGTATGCGTCGCCGCTCAGGGTTAAGGGCGTACCGATTTTTGGAACATAATTCCAGAACAAGGAGCTTGCTTCTGTTTGGTAAATTTATTCGCAAGGCCGGTGGGCTTCAGCTCTATCTGATAAGCTGCTGAAAGAGTTCCGTGTGAGACAAGTTACATACTCTCCTAATGGAGCAGGACGTCTGAGTGTCTGTGATAAACTGGTGTATACAGTAGTCCTTAATTCTTTCGTGAAGAAAGAGTGCCTTAGAAAAAATGTCCAATTTGATAAATTTGATCAAGAATGGGCTGTGAAGAAACCTCCACGACTACTTTATGGTCCTATTGTTAATTGTGTACGGACTATATTCTCGTTATCCATCTTAGAGTACGCTATCACGTTTGGTTCCGAGAATACGGGGTCACTCAACGTGTTGCTCATTGGGGGCGCGATTATCCAAAGAAGTCTTCAATAATCGATGGATTGTCCGAGACGGACACGGGGGTGGTTGCCTAGGGCTCTAAGTCTAGTTCTACGTGATCCTTTCCTTACAGGGCTCACGAGGACGGATCCAAAACTGTGGAACAGTTAAAGCATGCTACTATCCGCGAATGCAAGCCGTTTGGGGCGGAGGCTCTGCTTCGCGTCCTCCAATTCCGTTGGAGAAGAACGCTAGTTTAGAGAGATGGCTTTGAAGTTCGTATTATTTTGGCCAGAGAAGAAACTTCGCAAGGACATCGGTAGGCGGTATGGGAACACCAGCACTCTAGAGGCGCGCCAACGTCCGAAAGTCAGCAATGTGAGGAGGTAAACATTATGCTTGAATTATGCTCACAGTACGTCTGCGTCAGATTTACATAAAAAATTAGACCACTGGCCTTTGCACGCGAAACAAGCCGCGTTGTCCACTACGCCATGTGCTTTAGGATTTAACAGTACTCAAAAGTGACACCTCGATTCCGCTGCCTATCGATTTTTATGATTTGGCTAACAACATTCGAACGACCGATAGGTTAACCCTTTGTCCATCGCCAAGGAAACTAAACTAGTAGTCCTGTCCCTTGTCCGGATATTTTTTACACTGAATTTCGGTGTGTCGCTGTCGTCGCCTGTGTCATTGTTCATTTCCGATTCGATCTGCTAGGTTACTGCCAACATTAAACAAGGCACGAACAACCGGCTAAGTGACGAAGGCTGCAACCTGCCACCCGACCGGATCGTGTGTGGCACACGTAGACGGGCTGTTCAGGTCTGTCAGCCACTGCTCCTAATCCCAGCCTCAGAAGTCTGGCAGGTTGGGTCAGTCAGCTGGTTCACGGGAAAGATGAGAGGGAGTGAGGCCGACTCTGGGAGACTCGCTTCCACGGCACATCAGCTGGTTTCTTACTATAGTGACTCTGACGTATCATAACGTTATCAAGACGCGCTAAAAGTCGTGGCTCGGAAGACTGCCAACGGACGAGATACTTCGACTATTCTGGTCAGTACTGTGTGTGTATGTGGGGTGACCGGCCCGAGGTCCGAGAACCAGGCTCAATAGTTCCTTCCTGGTGGGGGCTCTGTGCCACTCCTACTCAGGTGAGACCCAAACCAGCCCTTTATTCTGTGAAAAGCCTGGTCCATTGTTCGGTCAGCAGGTAGTGTGTGGCACGTCTAGACGGGGTGTTTGCTAGTCGTTGCGCCCGATCACACCTCATTATGAACTAGTGCATACGCAAGTCGCCGTTCTGCCACCACCATGCTGTGGGACGCATGGTGGACATCGTAATTAACGACGGTCGATGAGCGTTCCTCAACCATTGTATATTCTCGATCGTAACCGATAGCACAATGAGCCCTTGGCTCAGCGGCTAAAGTATGGGACTTCTAACCAGGATCGGACCCCAGGTGTTGCACACCTCGGAGTTGGGCATGACTGACTGACGACGGCTAATAAGTCAGAAATGGCCATTCCAGTCTCCCATATCCTTGGCGGTAGTGCTATTCTGACGGTCGCGCTGTCGATAGCTGAGGTTGTCCCCATTAATCCGTTTTGTAACTATGTGATACCCAAGTTGGCCAACGAGAGAACCTGGCCAATGTGCGGGTCTTTAATGGGGGTTAAAAGTACACACACGCAAATGCGCACTTGATCGCTTAACCCACGCACTCAGCTCGCGCGTTAAGAAATTATGGAAGCGCGGGCTGCGATTGTCCCAGGAACTTAACCGGTTGTTGGCATGCAAGATTTTCCTCCTAAGATAGACCAACGTATCTAACGCGACACTTTAACTCCATATCAGGCATACACTTTGGCTTAAAATCATACGGTAGAAAATCCTTAGCTGACTTTTGGCGTCCCTGGTTGATTTTGTGGTTTTCGGTGCCGAAAGGGCTATTGCATTATTGCCGATTCGAACGAGAAGATGAGGCCAACAAGCCATTGACAAGCAGGAGACTCTGAAGCAAAAATATTATTCGCCTAACGTCTTGGTCTTAAACTACCTATCGCAGACAGTATCAAATAAGGCTAATGGACGTACAAATTTGCAGTATGTGCGCGACACAGTTGCTAGACTAGAACACACCTACCAAAATGAACGACTAGTATTTATCATCAGTGATCCTACTTCTTGCGATGAGGGCTTTGTCGCCCGCATTCGAGTCGTCAGTTGCCACAATTTCGTCAACAGTATCATTTAATGGCGTGATAATTACTCGTGCAGTTGGTCTCAGTGACACTGTCTTTGAAAAAAGTTCGTAGCTAATTACTCAGCTTGGGCAAAGCTTCAGCACTGAATATGCAGGGAAGAGCTCGTTGAGCTTGCTGATGACTGAGGGACTCAAGCTAAACGCAGCTCACGCGGTCGTCATGTCACAGGGGAAATTTAGTCTCGTCAAACTTGAAGGGATGACCACGTCCCGTCGAAGAAGTCGCGACTTGCGGACTGGTGCCATTTCGCTTCACTGATACTGCGTGTTCGGCCGCCCGCATCTAGATAAATCTTTCAGTTTTACAGATACAATTTCTTTATCTACAACCGCACTAGATCTTATAAACGACCCCAGACACTTCCCGCCGTGACAATGGGCATAACGGCCTCATTCACTGGCACATAATAGTTGCCTCTGGTCTGTAGGCAACTCGAACTCCAAGTGGACCGCGAGGGTGTCTGACGGCTTTAGAGATATTTTTATTAGACGGGAGCGCTTATCAAATTCGGGCCAGTGCAACATAAATACACTAGTTCACTAAATTGCACGGCCAGCGATCCAATCTGACCACCCATTGAAAGCACTTTATTTCGAAAATCTTCTGTCGAATACGACGCCTCTCATCATACCAACTGAGCGTCCTTACGCAAATGCGTTTGTGGTCACTTGAGTGATTGCCGTTGAAGTACAGTACTTGTTTCGAATTTGTCGCTTTTCTGGATCCCTTGGTTTGTAAGTTACCCCAACCATCGTACCAACGAGAACATCAGGGAAGGCCAGCTGACCGTCTCCTTCCTCCTCCATCGTGAATTGTATGTCCGAAAAGACAACGATGAGGTATTTTTAAAATCCACATTCCGTTTAATGCCTTCGATTGTATTCAAATACCGAGCCCAGAACGTCGATCTGTGGTGGCGGAAGGCCAACGATGAGCTGCTGCATGACTGCCTCAGCTGTGTGGAACCCCCGACTTGCATTCCGCCAGTTCGTGGATTGTTCCATTAAACGCGCAGTGCGTTTCGAGACAAAACCTCAGGAGTGGGAGAATTTGGTCCTGTTAGCGGGGATTTTCTGTTCCATCGAATTTGCTTTAGAAGAGTGAGTCGGTGGTCTTAACTGC